TGATGAGAAGCAAGAGTCTCCTATACTAACATACACACTTTGCTACAAGTGTTTTTTTTGTCAATAAGGGAGAGCATGCATACAGTATAGACAACTTCAGATTGAGAGGTCTCTGTGTGAAAAGAGTTAAAAAGGATTATTAGAATAGTAAATTGGACTTCAAAACCATATAAGTGTACAGAAAACACATTTTATGTTATAGTACCATATTACTACTGATTCTACATCAAGCCTATATAGCTATGAGAAAAAAAATATATATATATGCAGTAATCTGAAGAGGAAATGGAGAATCTGCTGGCTATAAACCTAAATGCTAAACATATATACAGAGTAATACACAGGTTGGCAGATATATGCGCTATTGGAGTGATTAACCCATTGATGACAAGATAGCATGGCTATTAGGCTACACACTGTCATTACAATCTATTATTAATGTGACTTCACAAGTTTTAGTCACCAAGGAGTCAGTCACTAATCCTAACTAACTCACCTTTCCTTGATTTTTTGAAAGACTTATCTTTTATCTTACACTACTATTAATCTTGAGAATACCATTATAATAACCCCAATATCAATGCTAATGGCAATAACAGTAATGATATTAATAGCATCAGAAAAAAATATTTCTTGGAAGAATGGGAATATCAGGGGAAGTCAGCTAAGCCTAATAATTGACACCTAATTGACTCATACAATTCACCAATAAAAAATAATTAGCAGCCTATACCATTTAAAAATATATATACAGTATAGTAAATCTGCATATTTTACAGTAGTCCAACACCTTTCACATATTTACTTTTAAATGCAGAAACTGAAAACTAAGCATACAAGCAATGAGTCTGTACATCAAAGTGTACAATCAGGATTTTATCCAAGTCTGGAATCAAGGCTCTTTCAATCAAAGATCTTTGGCTGCTAGCTCTTTTTTTAAATTTTGTACACCGGCAAACATTTTCCATCATAAACATCACTGGCACATTTGGTATATAAGTATTCAGTATTTGAACTCTTTGGCATATATAAAAATTTGGTCTTGATGTACATCTCTGGCAGACATGAATCACAGATTCCAGTATGGATTTGATCTAAAACTGCAGTCAGAATTATAGGTCTAAAATTCACAAGGAATTGGTTACATATCAAATACCAGGAATGAACACTTGGGATGTGTCACTAATAACAGTAACAGCCTTATGCAAATATTCCTTTACTCAAATATTCCCAATTTTTTTTTTTCTCTCTCTCTCCTGTGATTGTAGTTGTGGGGGTTAATGGGAACAGCATCCTGCATTAGACCCAGATTGTAGAGAGTATTTTTCATGCGCAGGGAATATTATTACATTTTTTTGTGCGGAAAACATCATTTTGTCTACATTTGCACAGATGGATCTGCGGACAGATAATGAAACAAGTGCATGAAAAGGTCAAAAGAATTTTATGCACGGAAGTTGATTTAAAAAAACTAAGCGTGTGCGGAAAGTTACCCAAGAACTACATTAGAGCGGGTAATGCATTCCTCGCGCAGATCAAACTCTAGAGTCTGGCATTAGACAACATAGTGACTGATTGATTCTGTGTATATCTTTACATATTACACCAGGATTTCCCCGTTATCTTCCCTGCCCTCCCCTGCTATTGGAGCTAAGAATGCCAAATTGGAAAGTTTGCTGTGCATGGTGGATGAATCCGCTGCGCCTCAGCCACGGTTCTGGCCACACCATTTAGACAAATTGTTTTCTCTCAGCTGCTCCATTTAGTAAATGGAGGCTTAACCCATAGCTGACGGGTTGTATGTACGTACATGCCATAGCTGTTGTGGACCGAAACACGGATGGCATCGTATCATGCACATGCCCACGCCACTAGCTCATCAGACGGAGTTTGTTTTTCTCCAATAGTAGCGGCTTCATTTATATGGTAAAGATTTTAGGCAATGGCACCTATAATGAAGGTAAACCATCAAAATTTTAATATTTTTATAAATCACTGCAAAATAAAAGCTTTAGGTGCTAAATGTCACTCGCAAACTACCGATTGAGCTGGGCGCAAACCGGGGAAACTGCCGATGCGTGCCAACAATCCCCTTATGTCCACTTGCCAAAATTTTTACCCGTCAGCACTGGCTAAATGCACAACCGTGAACTGGGAATTCCTTGAGTTGAAGCCAATGACTGGCTGATTGGACCAACGAAATTTGTGAGACAAGTTTATTTAATGAAAAGTGATCATTAATTAAATATCTTCAGGGCTGTAAGGTTAGTTTTAATTCATTCAGTAATTTTCTATATTACCTTCGCCTCTCCATTATCGACGATTTTGGTATCGTTGGATTCCTCTCACTGTCAACAGTGCAAATATATAGTTTTTATTGCGCGGAAACCCCCCATTAGCGACAAACTTTGCCCCGATGGTAAGGGTGGGCATGGAAGGTTCCAGGGAAACTGCGGGGTTAAATAACACTAATAATATAACACACTGTGAAAATAACCTTGGTTATTCACATGACTTTCCATTGCAGGGGGCTGCACCGCCCGCAACCCCCCCTGGGGAGGCTGCTGCACCCAACCCCACCGAGGAAACAAAACCTCCACCACGTATTCCCGGGCAGACTAGAGCGTTACACAATTATCGTCGATCTCGAGCGGCGGATGTATTACAGTTACCTCGTTACATTCCCACTAAATCAGCATACTAAACTTGACATAGGCAGCATTGTATACAGAGATGATTGTAGTATAATCAGGATGAACAGGGTATATCATGAACAGAAGAGCGCCTAAAAATCCTAGGTTATGGTAGGGATTATCGGCTCTGCATCTCGTTCGTGAGCGCTCTATCCTGCCGTGAATATGTGGTGGATATTTTGTTTCCTTGGGGGGGTTGCAAGGGGCTGCATGGTTATTTTCACTAGGGATTATATTATTAGAGTAATTTTCTATATTATGTCCGCTGCTCCAACATTATCGCCCCTGCTATCGGGGCCAAGTTTGCCGCTAACGGGTTTTCCACGCAATAAAGCCTACATATTTGGATTGTACAGAGTGAGAGGATTCCAACGATACCAAAATTGATGCGAAGGTAATATAGAAAATTACCATTGATTCTTTGGTGACACCTTTTTTCAATAATACCGCAGTCTCTGCTTCTAAACAACAACTCTGGCGCGCAATTTGCAAAGTTTCCAATCTGGCAAGAATGTGTAGGACTGGGGAGTTTCTGCGCAATAATTTCTAAATATTTGGAAATTAGACAGTGACAGGAATCCAATGATACCAAAACCATCAAGATCCCTTAACAGAACTATTCAGAAAAAAAAAAAAATCTGCTGCTTCCAACTGAGAAATGAATATCTAAATTGATATAGAACTGAAAAACATTTACTTACTACTTTAATAGACATCCTGGACATTTGTATTTAGATGTTTCTTTGGTACAAACTTGACAAACATCAGTGCCTTTGTCCATGTCTTCTGGCTGAAAGAAGTTAGTACTACTAGGAACTGAACACGTTTAGTGTCTCACGCTCTCCGAATGTAAACAAAAGTCAGCTGTTTATTGTTGTCAACACGTGGACATTTAATTTTTTTCTCTACAGTAGTCGAATGTTTGTTTATGGTTCGTTTAACTAATTAAGACACTTACTTAAGGCATTTCATTAACATTCAACTATAAGTATGTTATTATAATAATATGGTATATATGTATATATATATATATATATAATATATAATATATATATATATATATATATATATATATATATATTATATATATATATTATATATATATATATATAATATATATATATATTATATATATGTATGTATGTATGCACACACACACACATATATACATATATGTATCATATATATATATATATATTATATATATATATATATATATATATATATATATATATAA